TTCTGTCCATTCTGGCTCTCCAATCTCCTTTTAGTTTGCTTACATGAGCCCACATTGATGTCTATATATAAACGCTAATTCTGACTGATGTTCAATGAAGACGTCAACCATTTACAGTTGTGCATGCATTAGTTCATTCTAGTTGACTTTAAGCAAATTGAGGGCTGCAGTGATGTCTCTTATTTATTTTGTACAGTGTCAAAATCACTTGCTTACCCAGCTCCAGAACCCTTCCGTACAGGTTTAAGCTGTACTTAATTTTGCATAATCAACTAATAAAATTAATTCTGCATATAATCTGAGGGGGCTAGAGCGATAGCACAGTGGGTAGGGTGTTTGCCTTACATGCAGCCAACATGGCTGACCCGAGTTCAATTCCTCTGCCCCTCTCTGAGAGCCTGGCAAGCTACCGAGAGTATCTCGCCCACAAGGCAAAGCCTGGAAAGCTACCCCTGAAGTATTCGATATGCCAAACACAGTAACAAAGTCTCACAATGTTACTGGGCCCACTCGAGCAAATCGATGAACAATAGGAGGACAGTGATAGTGATAATCTGAGGAGTTATATCAGGAAAAGAAAGTCCTGGGGTGGGACATTTTTGCTTCTGAAGTTTGTCCATTGCCTTTTATTCATTGGGAACCAGAAGTATTATCCTCCCCCCCTAATTCCATGTCAGTTACACCTGTATAATGTGTACTAGATAGGTTCATCTGTCAATTATATTGCATTCCACCACTAGTATACGACATGTAGGTTATCTCTAAGCAGAAAACCAGAAAGAAAATAAAAAGCAGTTTTCTCTTGTATGAATTATATTATTAGATGTGCTAGGTATCACTTTGAAGTGCTACATTTGAATAACACTTTACAAAGCATTTTCAACAAACACCATTTAGTCCTTACAACAAAAGTTTCAGTCAAGAAGAGCAATTAATATCTTCATTTCACAGATGGAAAAACAGACTCAGAAAAGTAAATAACCTGACCAAGGTTGCAAGATACAAAGGGCAAAATCAAGACTCAATCTGTAATTTGACTCAGTGAGAAAAAAAACAAATGACAGTTGAAAAAAATAAATGCAATTTGTGTCATAGTTAAAATATTTTATCCGGGGCTGGAGTGATAGCACAGCGCATAGGGCATTTGCCTTGCACGCAGCCAACATGGCCGACACAGGTTCGATTCCCAGCATCCCATATGGTCCCCCAAGCACCGACAGGAGTGATTCCTGAGTACATGAGCCAGGAGTAACCCCTGAGCATCGCCGGGTGTGACCCAAAAATCAAAAAAAAAATTTTATCCCTGATATTAGAAAGTATATAACACTTGACAAGAAAAAAGCTGCAAAATAGAGTAATACTAGAGTAATAATACAGCAGGTAGAGCATTTGCCTTGCCTGCAGCACACCCAGGGTCAATCTCCGACATCCCAGATGGTCCCCTGAATACCGCCAGGTATTTTTTTTCCTTAATTTTTTATTAGTGAATCACTGTGAGGTACAGTTACAGACTTACAAACTTTCGTGCTTGCGTTTCAGTCTTACAATGATCGAGTACCCATCCCTCCACCAGTGCCCACCAATGGTCCAAGCATCCCTCCCACCACCCCCACCCCATCATCTCCACCCCACCCTGCCTCTGTGGCAGGGTATTCCCTTTTGCTCTCTCAGGAGAGATTCTTGAGTGCAGAGACAGGAGTAACTCCTAAGCATCACTGGGTATGGTCCAAAAACAAACAAACAAAAAGGAAAAGAATAGACAGAGACTACCAATCCATAAAGACCGTACAAAAAAGTTCTCAGACAAATACAATTAATTAGGATGCTAACCAACATTCAGGTTGAGTGCCAACAAATGCATTTGTTTGTTAGCCAGTTGCTGCTGAGGCAACCATAGATGGAATTCCACAAAAGTCAAAGTAGTCTGTGAGAATCAACTTGCTATATGGAATTCAAAACCAAAGACACTGTGTACTTTATCATTTCATATATTGCTGTGCTACACATTTTTTATATCAGTAAAATGCATAAGATATCTTTTATAAATATTCATGAACGTATTTTTTTCCAGGGAGCTGATTGCTGAACATCTGTCATCATATCACTGAAGATATTCTAAACACAAAAGAAATGGCATAAAATAAAAAAAAAACTTATTAGTCTGCTAGTAGTAGTACTGGCATTGTGTGGTTTTAAGTTATTATAGATCTGGAGCACTGTAGCACTTTCCTCCCACTGTTCATCGATTTGCTTGAGCGGGCCCAATAATGTCTCCATTGTGAGACTTGTTGTTACTGTGTTTGGCATATCAAATACAACATGGGTAGCTTGCCAGGCTTTGCCGGGCCGGCGAGATACTCTCGGTAGCTTGCTGGGCTCTCTGAGAGGAGCGGAGGAATCGAACCTGGGCCGACCAGGTCGACCGCATGCAAGGCAAACTCCCTACCCGCTGAAGGATAAATAAAATATGCTAGTGCTGGGCTAGAGTGATAGTGGGTAGGGCGCTTCCTTGCACATGACTGACCCAGGTTCGATTCCTCCGCTTCCCTCGGAGAGTCCTGCAAGCTACTGAGAGTATCTCTCCCACACGGCAAAGCCTGGGAAGCTACCCGTGATGTATTCGATATGACAAAAACAGTAACAACAAGTCTCACAATTTGTTGTGAGATGTTACTGGTGCCCGCTTGAGCAAATTGATGAACAACGGGAGGGCAGTGCTACTGTGCTATGTTAGTGCTATTAATAATAAAGGGACCAGAAAGATAGCATAGCAGTCAGGACGCCTGCCCTGCTCATGAGTGACCCCTGAGTGCATAGCAAGGAGGAAGCCCTGAGCTCTACCGGGTATGACCCAAAAACCAAAAATGAAACCATAGAAATTTCCCACCATGAAGAGTTTTAGATAAGCAAAAAGTCCTAGTCACTCTTCTCTAAAGGTATAAACACCCCTGGGAAGGGAATTGTAGGACACATAGATAGTGGACAAGAAAGAGCCTCTGGAATGGGCCTGTTTCTGAGGGGCCCTCGCCAACTTGTGGCCAAGACATCCAGGTGGCTTCTTGGGCACTTCTAAGTTGGGAAAGGATAATAAAACTGAAGTTCCTGTCAAATACTTGCTAAATTAGACTCCCCTTGACCAAACACATCTGAATTTTTTTCTATTTCAACATTTAGTCCAATTCCCTTTTTTTTTTCTTTTTTTCTTTTTTTTCTTTTTTTATTAGTGAGACATCATGAGGTATAGTTGTAGACTTACAAATTTTTGTGCTTGGGTTTCAATTATACAATGATCAAATACCCATCCCTCCACCAGTGCCCATTTCCCACCACCACGAATCCCAGTATCCCTCCCACCCCCCAGTCCCACTCCCATCCCACCCTGCCTCTGTGGCAGGGCATTCCCTTTTGTTCTCTCTCTCTTATTGGGTGTTGTGGTTTGCAAAATAGGCATTGAATGGCAATCATGTTTGGTCTATGGTGTACTTTCAGCATGCTTCTCCCATCCTGGGAGGATCCTCCCAACACCTTTATTTGGTGTTCCCTTCTCTATCTGAGCTCCCTTTTCCCCTAGCATGTGTGGTTGCCTCCAAGCCAAGTCCAATTTCCTTTTTAATTTTTTTTTCATTTTTATTGAGACAGCTAAATTTACGATACTGCCAACTATACTTTTCTTAGTCTCTGTGCTAAGGATCTCCCTTTTTTCCATATTTCCAGCACTCATTTTGCCTTCTCATTTGTTCTCTCACAGTGTTCAGTGATTGTTTCCAGACACATCTTTTCCCATTCTGAGTGTTGATATGCTTCTTATAGACATCAGATATGTAATGTTTTTAAAATTGCTTCAGCATAAAGAACAATACAAGCCACTGAGCCAGGGAAATGACTTAAAGGACGGGAGGACGTGCTTTGCTCGCAGGTGGCCTTTTCCTGGCTCCAGCACCACACGCATGGTTCCCCCCCCCCAGCCCCCCACCCACCCCTCACCTCCCCACCCCTGCCTCCCCCAGCACCTCCAGGGAAGATCCCCAGCAACATGGTGAGCCCAAAATAACAATAATAACCACTGATTTGGGCTGGAGTGATAGCACAGCGGTAGGGCATTTGCCTTGCACGCAGGCAACATGGCCAACCCGAGTTCGATTCCTCCGCCCCTCTCGGAGAGCCAGGCAAGCTACCGAGAGTATCTCGCCCGCATGGCAGAGCCTGGCAAGCTCCCCGGGACATATTCGATATGCCAAACACAGTAACAACAAAGTCGCCAATGGGCCCGCTCGAGCAAATCAATGAACAACAGGAGGACAGTGACAGTGACAGTGAACCACTGATTCAATGGATGCCTGAATAAATACAGGCTTTGAAAAGGGCAAAAGGCAGAACATTGAATGGGTGGTTGAGCAGAGCAGTGGGGCTAGGGATAGAGTGGGGTTGAAAGGATTCTTGATCCCACCCTCCTGGGGCTGCAGCAGCTGGACAGATACTACAGGACTTAAAGCACCAAACTCTGTTCGGACCCGGCTGGTTCTCTGAGCATCTATCTCAAGATGCTTCCTGGGCCTCCTTCTGAACCCAGCAGCTAGGCTGGCCCAGAATCCTCCTAGGGGGCAGGCTCTGGGTCTCATGAGGGCCTCTGGGCAGGTGGTGGTTGGGGGAGGGGGGGCCCTGCAAAATGCTATGAAACAGCTGGTGCTTTGACCACCTCCAATATGTTAAGGAAACAACCAGTGCACGTAGCAAAGGAGCCTGACACACTTTTTTTTTTAAAGCTGGAATGGAACGGGGCTTCGTTCTTTCCCCACGTGGTTCTGCAGGCTGCCTGGTGGTCAGCATGCTCCGAGCCTTTTTTTTTTTTTTTTTTTTTAAAGCAACGACTCTCCATCGCGAAAAGTGGACGGAAAAATAGAAAAGGGTCCCCAGGGGAAGCCGGAGCAGCCAGCGCCTTGCAGCTGGGCGGCGGGCACCACTGAGTGGGGGACCTCCGGCGCGTCCTAGAGCGGCCGCGCGCGGCCCCAGCCGGCGGCGCACTTCCGCCCGCCCGGGTCGCCGCGGTGCGGGCGGCGGGGCCTGGCTGCGGCCTGCACCTGCCCGGGCGCGTGCCGCGGGCCTCGGGAGTGGGTGAGTGGGGCCGGGCACGCCGGCGGGGGGCGGGCCGGGGTGTGTCCCGCGGGGCGCACGCGCGGGAAGGCCCCAGGCTGCGGGGGGGGACGGTGTGTCCGCCGTCCGGAGGGAGACGGACACCGACTTGGACGCGAGCCTGGGCTCGCGGCTGGCCAGAGCGCTGGACCCCGCCGTGGCCGCTCACCCTGGAATGGAGCGGGGCAGGGCCAGCCCGGGGCGCCCCTTCCCGGGCATCCCTCGGCGTCGCCTAGGACAGTGGGCTGCCCCCGTGGGGGTAGGAAGGTGGACGGGCACGCGCGCCCCCCTTCTTGGCGCTCCGCGTCCGCGCGCGGCTGCAAAGAGGTTGCAGGAATCTTGCACCTGCGGAGACCCCGGGCTCCCTCCCCGGCGATTGGTGGTCTGCACCCCGGACCCCCAGTGCCCAGTGATGGTGCACCGCGCGCTTTGCCCCGGGCTCCGTCCCAGAAAGCGGACCTCAGCGCGCGTCACTTCCAACTCCCCAGTGCGCCCAAGGGGGCCCCCAGTCCCGCAGCCGGGGTAGAGGAGATCAGTGGCTCCAGCACCATACGCATGATTCCCCCCCTCGAGCTGGCCCACTAGGGAAGACACCAGGCATTATTCCCTCGTGGGCCAACTCGTGGAAGGGTTTTGATGACAGGGGACGTGTTTCCGAATTGATAATTATGCCGAATTTCAAAGGTCAAAGTAGGATCGTTTACAGAGCGCACAACTTAGGGCATCACTCCTGGCAGTGCGGGATGCCGAGGATCGAACCTGGGTTGATCTCATGCAAGGCAATCTCCCTACCTGCCCTGCTATTCCTCCAGCCTCATCTGTGACCTTCTATTCCTTTCTTCCCCACACTCTGCATTGTTGGGAAGCAAATTCAAAGTGTAGTTTTAGCCATTAAATACTTGTTTCTGTTTATAAGACAGTGACTTTGGGGGGGGGGGGGGTTGAGGGAGGTTAGAGGGGAACATCTGCCCAAGAAAATGATCAGGGAATCACTCCTGGCCGGGCCCAGGGGACCAGATGGGATGCCAGGGATCAAACCTGGGTGGTGTGCAAGGCAAGTGCTGGACTCGATGTACTATCACGGTTTTATTTTTGGTTTGGAAGCTCAGTTGGCAGTGCTTAAGGGTGCTCCCATCTCAGTGCTTGGAGTGCCTCCTGGCAGTGTCTGGGCATCTGTGCGGTGCCAGGGATTGAACCCAGGCCTTCTGCATGCAGAACGTGTGCTGCAGTGGTTTGACCTATACCCCAGGTCAGGGGTTATTAATATCTCACTTTAGATTTCTGGGGAAAGCTTGTAGTGGATGGGAATCCAGACTATTCAGAATGACCAAGATTATACCAGTACATCTCACAGGAACCTGTGCTTGGGTGTAGGGGCGGTGATGTGTAATCGCCAGTGATCTTTCATTGCAGGGTGGACAATGGCGATGGATGTGACCTTTCTGGGCACCGGTGCAGCGTACCCGTCCCCCACCCGGGGTGCCTCGGCGCTGGTCCTCCGGTGTGAGGGCGAGTGCTGGCTTTTTGACTGTGGAGAAGGAACTCAGACACAGCTTATGAAAAGTCAGCTTAAAGCAGGTGAGCGTGCCTTCAGCTATCTGACTCATGACAGTTCCTTTTTCTTTCTTCTCTTTGTTCTCCTTAGGCCTTTGAGTGAACACAATCCTGAGAGTTGATCCCCACTTCCATGCTAGCACCATGGCAAGATGGGAAGTTATCGTGAAGTTACTGGGTATCTTTGGCCACACCCACTTGATTTCGTTCATCCTCCGTTCAGAGCAAGGATTTGTATCGGCTTGGGCAGTGTATGGAGGGAAGACACCAGGCATGTTAGAGGATGACTGCCAGGCAAGGGAGCAGTCAGCACCCTCAATTCTTCTAAGAGGCAGATGTGGGTTCCGTGAGCAGGTGATGGTCAGAGGGACCCAGCTCTTTCCTGTTTGAGATATGCAGAGTTAGCCTCCCAGAGATGCTGACCTCTGACCTCCTGGGCTATGGAGAAGGGCGTTCTAGGCAGAAGGCCGACGTAAGAAGAGGCCCAGAAACTGGGAATCTGAAGAGAATGAGGGGGAGAAGCTTTGACCTAGATTCACCCAGACCTGGCTTCGGGTCCTACCTGTGTCATGCTTGGCATCTTCGCAGATCATTAAATGGAAGCTTTGCCTTCTCACCTCAAAATGGGGTTAGAAATGCCATCTTTGGGGCCAGAGAGATAGTGTAGCAGGTAGGGCACTTGTCTTACACACGGCCGACCCAGGTTCTGTCCTCAGCATCCCATATAGTTCCCCCCTCCCCCCCCATCCCACCATGAATGATCCCTGAGGGTGGAGTCAGGAGTAAGCCCTGAGCACAGCTGGTTGAGACCAAAAAAAAGGGAAAAAAAAATTAAAAGAAAAAAATGCCACTTAACCAGAATACTATGAGAATTATATGTGCTAATCATTCTCCTCATCAGTTAAGTCTTAGCTCAGATGTGGTTTCCTCAGAAGCTTTCCCTGAACCTCTGGGGTACCCTTCTCCATCCAGGCCTTCTGCTCTGTCCTGTTACTGATTTTATCATCATTATCTAAAATGATGTGCCTTAAAAGAGTTCTTTCTGTGTGTACCTTATTGAAAGAGTAAGCATTGGTCACTTATGTACCTCGTGCATACCTGGGTAATATTTGCTCAGTTAATTCATAAGACTGTCGCACCTCATCCAGTACCTTTCACTCCTTACATCTTGAAAAATGTCTGTAAGCTTATTATTCCTTTGATTTCGTACAGGGCATGACATTTGATGATGAAAGGAACGATAATTCTAGTGTTCAAAAATCTCTTTGTCTAGTAGGGGAAAGTGACTTGTAAGCAGTCATAGTGTATTGTGTTAAGTGGAATAATGGAGGTGTTTTCGAAGTACTTCTGGAGCACAAAGGGGAGGGGGGGTCTGACTGGAGTTGTGTGTTCAGAGAGAGCATCCCAGGTGTGGGAACAGTAGTGTTAGGGCCTGAGGGGTGACTTGACATATCTTTGGGAGAGAAGTGGAGATGGACATATAAAGTACAGACATCAAAGTAGCAGGCATTTCCAGGCGAAAGACAACATATTTGAGAAGCAGTAAACTGTCAGCTGGAAGATAAGAACGCTGAAATTGTGGTAGATAGAAAAGTCTCTGGTGGGTACTTGGACTTTTTTTAAAAAATCCTACTATCAAAAAGATACTGTAAGAACTTTAAAACCGGGGCACGACTTTTTGTTGTCTGTGTTTGTGTTTCCGGGCAGAATATTCTAATGTCGAATATCTGGGGAACAGGAATGGCACAAGAGAGAGAGAGCTGTTCTAACACAGATGTGTTCACCTTAGCGCGCGGGGGCGATGAGGATGTGGAAGCAGGGACCAGGAACAGGGATCAGGACGAGAGAGACTCAGTGAATCAACAGCAGGTAGTGAGTCATGAACGGCAGGGTGTGATTCAGTGAAGACTCCCCTGTGTTACAATGCAGTCAGAGATGGTGATGTCGGCAGAGAGCTCTTGGAAGGAGGAGCATGTCTCCCCCGTGGGACTCCTAACTTTGCTCCGCCCAGACCTGAAGGAACAGGGCAGGTCTCTGGCTTTACTTCCCTGGGGACTTGCTGGGCTTTCCTTCCCGGAGAACTCTGAACGCTGCAGCCGACTGGGGAGATAGCTCTGCTGCTGAGTGCTTCAGGCAGTCGGGGTTCCAGTGGCAACCCCTTTTCATTAAAATGTGCCCTGGATTCTGCCCCAGAGATGTGGTGAGAGGATAGCTCCCGTCTTTGGAGCCCGGGCTGATTTTTAACATGTGATCCTTTTGTCGTGTGTGTTTGTGTTTGGGGACAAAATACTCTACTGGCAAATGTGTAGAGAACAAGAACAGCATCAGAGAGACCTTTCTAACACAGATGTCTCCTGGTTCCTCGGGGTCAGGGTGCCCAGGGCTGGCCGGATCTTCTCTGCTTCAGGCTCTTGTCACGAGGCTGACAGTCCAGTCCCTGTTATGGGCTGGACTTGACATCTCATCCAAGGACACCTTGGGGACGAGTTGACTTCAGAACTCTCACTGGATGTTGCCAGAGTCCTTGAGAGCCCGACAGCTCCTTCTGCTGTCGGTGACTGCAGTGCCAGGCTGCTGAGGAGGGAGCCTTACGGCCGCACAGTCTCCCTCATCCCTGTGCAACAGTGTCCCGGCCTGAAGCAAGTCACAAGTCCCCTCAGGAGGGCAGGGGAGCAGACTCCCGGAAGAACTGAACCTGGTTCTCACCCACAGTCTTCCTGCCACGCTCGTTTCTCTAATGATTTTCATTTTGTAACTGCTCTGTGTCCTACCTTCTATAGGGCCCAGACCCTGCAGCCCTGGCGCTGGCTCATGCAGTCCACAGGCCCACCTGCCCAGGGCCCGAAGCTGGCAGGAGACGTGGAGGGGGATATCTGGTGTCAGTGATAGAACCAGGGCCCCAGCACAAGCAGGGCACATGCCCCAGCCCTGTTGCAGATAAAGTGAGGTATATTTCAGTAGACTATGAAGGTAAATCTGGGAATAAACACAGAAATAAGATAAAACCTAAGGAAACCGTTCGTTGACCGTGTAACAAGCAGAAAAACTCCTGGCCTCATAAAGGAGGGTGAGGTGGGCTCTCCCCGGTGAGGCTCCGATTGGAAGCAGCAGTGTGCCCAGCGGCTGCCCGCTCGGTGGCCAGCTGGTGGGGTTCACCTGTACTGATTCTTGTGCACCCTGGCGGCTGAGGCTACCTCCTGAGGGCACAGTGTTCTGTGACTTTTCCAGGGAAACACTTTCTGTTATCAAGCGTTCTTCTTTGAAGCTTCCATGAGCTCTTGAGGTCAGCATCTGATTGCCTGGTGGAAGTTTGCTATGGCAGTTTGTCCATAACTTTAAAGAGAGAGCTTAAGCCTGTCATTTTGAAGGGGAAAAAAAAGGATAGAGGCCACTTTCTGCAGTGCTTAGGCCCTTCAGAATTTGGGGCCATTATGGCTCTACATCCAGTGATTTGATAGTGGGGGCAGGGTGGGGACATGCAATGGTGACATACGGTTCCAGGCTTTGCACGCTACTTGACTATAACCCTGGCCCCACACTTAAGCCTTTCCTCCTAAAACATGTTTAAAATACAAGGATATTTGTTAAGTGATGATAAAAATTGAGCCAGGGAGATAGCTTAAAGCACATGCTTTGTGCGTGGGAGTACCAGTCCTGATCCCTGGTATTACATGAGAACTGAGCTACTAGGCACCACTCAGTGTGGCCAGAAAATCAGAAAGAAAACAAAGATTTTAAAAATCACACATGCTTAGGGGCTGGAGATATAGTGCAGTGGGTAAAGTGCTTGCTTTGCCCAGGCCCAACTCGGGCCTGATTCCTGGCATCCCCTGTGGTCCCCCAAGCACTGCCAGGAGTGAGTCTTGAGAGCAGAGCCAGGAGTAATCCCTGAACATCGCTGGGTATGACCTGAAAGCTAAAACAACTTAAAAAAAAAAATCAGACATGCTTATTCTAAACATTGAAATAGGAGAAAAGAGTAAGAAAGTCTAACTATCCTTCATATTTAACTTTTCCATGTTTGGATATACAATAGCAGTGAGTAATGTAGGTATATTTGTGTGTGTGTGTGTGTGTGTGTGTGTGTGCGCACACGCGCGCGCGTGCACACGTGCACACACATGTGGACAGTATAAGTGGAGCCACTATACATGGTATAAACATGCTCGTTTTATTACAACATTACTTATGTACAATATATTGCAAACCTTTTCCTCGGACAGTAAGTACAGCTGCAGTCTCACTTACAGCAGTGTTTCTCAGCCTTTTTCCAACTTTGTTTTCTTCTTGTGGTCCCTCATCCTACCTCTCCCCTCACCCCCAGCCCCTTCCATTTATGTGACTTTTACCTATGACCCCCTTGAAATAATGTCCTGGGATCCCATAAGGGTCCTGTGACCCTAGGGTGAGAATCGTCGATTTCAAAGTTGCTTAATATTCCGTCCTCCCCGCACGAGAGGATCCTGGCAAGATTCCTTGTTCTCAGGTGGCAGGGCCCACATGCATCTTTTCTCCATTTGATGCCTCCTCCTCCCTTTGATCATTGTGGCTACCATTTCTTCTCCCACTACATCAGATTTCTTAAAAATGAAAGGCTTGTTTTTCCTGAAACTGTGATAACTGTGGGAAGCAATTTTTTACTTACTTAATTTATCTCCCTTGCTTTGAGTTCACAGATTGTTTTGGTATTTGGTTTTGACTTTGTTTTGCAGTAGATAGGAAGAGGGCCCAGAAAGTCTGGCTGGGCAGTTTTGAGGTGATTGTGAGATCAGTACCCCCATAACCTTGTCGTTCTTTATCTGGCGAGGTCTCGGGTCCCATAGGGGAGAGTCTGTGCCGTCTGGATAGCAAAGAGGGGGACGTGGAAAGGACAGGAGAAGGGAAAGAACAGCAAAAATAAAGACCGAGAAGGGGAAAAATTAAAATGAAGTACATATTATTGGAGACATTTCCAGAGAGACTCCTGAGAATTATCATAGTTGAAAAATAGCCTTTGTCCAATCTGCTGTTCTCTGCCACAAGACCTACTCTGTGTAGGAATTACAACAGGACTTACCTGTGGAACAGTTTTGCTTTGATATTGGGGATAAATCACATCATACTAATCCATGACTATCCTTTTCTGATATTAGCAAGCTCTTCCTGTTCTTTTGTTGTCAAGTGTTTGAAATAGGTTAGTCATGAGCTCGGATGGGTAACAACCTCTGTTATATTGAAATATGTTAACTGCGGTTGTTGAATGCTCTGTGGTGCACCTCGGGAAAATGCCGATGTGACATCCTCTCACATACCAGCTGTGGCTTCAGTTTACCATGGACTGAATCCAGAAACAGCCTAAACCAGCAGTGCATGAAAAGCTGCTGTGTTTGTGCCAGTGGGAAGAAGGGCCAAAGGGCAGGGCCCCCAGAGCAGAGGGCCGGCAGCACCTGCCTTTCTTATTCTCTCATCCCTCTCTTCTGTTCTTTTAACCCTGTGGAGAGAAGTCCATTCTGAGTTGGTTAGTTAGTCTCTTCGGTATAGAGAGTCCTTAAAATTCAGGCACTTTCTGATTCAGACACGAATCAGCCCAGAGGGGCCAGGGAAGAAGCATTCCTTCCTGTGGAAGCCTATACGTGCTATTCTCAGTAGGAGCAGTAGGGGGCAGTGTAGCTGCTAGATGCTTTTGACATTTTAGGGGTAAGGAAATCTCTTACTAGTGCAATACTGTATACTTGGAGGATGTTTTCTAGGGGGGAGGGGAAGCATGTGGCATTGAAGAAAAGTGTCTCTTCTGGAATTGTGGGAGATGTAAAGAAGTTTTCGGTGATAAGTAGAACTTCAGCTGAGGCTTCAAAAGCTGAAGTTAAGGGCAGTGAGGTATCAGAGAGAGGGAGAGAGCGCTTTGTTTTGTTTTCGTCTTAGTGATTTAAATTTTCCATCTAATTCTTGGACCCAGGCTGGAGAAATAGCACAGTGGGTAAGGTGTTTGCTTTGCACGCGACCGACTCGGCCGACCCAAGTTCAGTTCCTCCGCCCCTCTTGGAGGTCCCGGCAAGTTTCTGAGAGTATCTCACCTGCACGGCAAAGCCTGGCAAGCTCCCTGTGCCGTATTCGATATGTCAAACACAGTAACAATAAGTCTCACAATGGAGATGTTGCTGGGCCCGCTTGAGCAAATTGATGAGCAGCGGGAGTTCAGTGCTACAGTGCTACAAGTAGAACTTCTAAATTTACCTTAATGCTTGTTTTGGGGTGGGTGGTGGGGTGTTGGCCCACACCTGGCTGTGCTCAGGGCTCACTCCTGCTCTGCACTCAGGGAAGACTACTGGTGGGGCTCGGGGAACTGTAAGGGATGCCAGGGATCAAACCCAGGTTGGCCGTGTGCAAGGAAAGCGCCCTCCCTGTTGTGCTATTGCTCCAGCCCCTTTACTGCTTATTGCTGTTGTTGTTGTTATTATTATTATTATTAATGCAAGTTGCTCTGGATATTTCAAGTACCTCTGTGAATTTTTGTTTCTCTGCCTTAATCCAAAGGGAGAATTACCAAGATCTTTATCACACACCTTCACGGAGACCATTTCTTTGGCCTGCCCGGCCTCCTGTGCACCATCAGCCTGCAGAGCGGCACCGCCGGCACGAAGCAGCCCATTGAGATCTACGGTCCCGCGGGGCTGCGCGACTTCATCCAGAAGACCATGGAGCTCTCGCACACGGAGCTGGTCTTCCCGTATGTGGTCCATGAGCTGGTGCCCACAGCCGATCAGTGCCCCGCAGAGGAACTGAAGCAGTGGGCTCAGGAGTCGGGAGCAGACAGCCCCCCCAAGGAGGGGCAAGGGAGAACGATCCTCTTAGATGTGGAAGAAAATGCCTACCTCCTGGTGGACGATGAACAGTTCGTGGTAAAGGCATTTCGCCTCTTCCATCGAATTCCCTCCTTTGGGTTTTCAGTCGTGGAGAAGAAACGCGCAGGTAAACTCAATGCACAGAAGCTGCGGGACCTCGGTGAGTGTTTCGCCTTCCCAGCAGGCTTGCTCGGGGGGGATTGTAAGAGGTGCCATGGTGTTCTTTATCTTGGTCTTGCTGGCCAGAAACCAGACGCTTTCTCACTTTGTGTCCTTCACCCATATTTGCATCAGAGGAGAAGTACTGGGGGCCCGAAGAGTCTGTTTCAGTGCAGAGGTCAGGTTTGGTTTTCAGGCCTCTCTTCAGCTTCCTGAGTGCACATTCTTGGTCCGCTGACCAGGCCTGGGTGACCAGGGTGGCGATGCCTTGAGTAGCCATAGGCTTTTTTACCCCCTTTATGTCTTTCTTTAGAAACATGCTTTTATGGGTATTGGCCTGCCTTTTTTTTTTTTGCCATAGTTTGTTTTTTTTTAATTTAATGTGATAATTTATTGAGAGCATACTATATGCTAGGTACTCAAGGACAGAAGATTCCAAAGGGGCTAATAATGAGAATAATAGGAGAAAGAAATCTTTCCATAGTAGAAATTCTCTCCAAACTCTTTCAATGCTAGAAAAGGTTGAAAAGTCTTTTTTTTTCCATCACTCAAGGTAATTTATTTATTTAATTTTTATTAGTGAGACACCATGAGGCATAGTTGTAAACTTACAAATTTTGTGCTTGGGTTTCAATTATACAATGATCAAATACCCATCCCTCCACCAGTGCCCATTTCCCACCACCACAGATCCCAGTATCCCTCCCCCCCCCATACCCCCCACCCTGCCTCTGTGGCAGGGCATTCCCCTTTGTTCTCTCTCTCTCTTTTTGGGTGTTGTGGTTGGCAAAAGAGGCATTGAGTGGCAATCATGTTTGGTCTATAGTGTACTTTCAGAATGCTTCTCCCATCCTGGGAGGATCCTCCCAACATTATTTGGTGCTCCCTTCTCTGAGTTGCCTTTTTCCCTAGCATGTGTGGCTGGCCTTCAAGCCATGGAGCAAAATTCCTTGTACTAATCTTGGCCATTCTTGGGTGTTAGTCTCCTATTTTGTTACTTTATGTTCCCCAGATGAATGCAATCTTTCTATGTCTATCCCTTTCTTTCTGAGTCATTTCACTTAACATGATACTTTCCATGTAGTACCACTTGTATGTAAATTTCATGACTTCATCTTTTCTAACCGCTACATAGTACTCCATTGTGTAAATGTACCAAAGTTTCTTTAACCAGTCATCTGTTCTCGGGCACTCAGGTTTTTTCCAGATTCTGGCTATTTAAAGAGTGCTGCAATGAACAAACAAGTGCAGATGTCACTTCGACTATACTTTTTTGCCTCTCTGGGATATATTCCCAGGAGTGGTATTGCTGGGTCAAATGGGAGCTCAATTTCTAATTTTTTGAGAATCGTCCATACTGTTTTCCAAAAGGGCTGAACCAGTCAGCATTCCCACCAGCAGTGAAGGAGGGTCCCTTTCTCACCACATCTGCGCCAGCACCGGTTGCTTTTGTTCTTATGGATGTGTTTGCCATAGTTTTTAACATTGCAGTTATAATTGCTTCCAAGATAGCCCTTCCCTGTCAGCCTTTTCTATGTGGATAAAGTTGGTGTTCAGAACACACCATCTCAGCCAGTGCTGTTTGCCCACGGGCCTGTCCGAGGCCGCCTCCGCCTTTGTGCAAGGCATCATGCCGGAGGGTTCTTGGCACACCTCTGAGAGTGCAGGCCCATTGCTTTTCTTGGCACGGCTGTGGCAGTGCCCATAAGAAGCATGATGGTGGTTTGTATGTACATTTCTTTGTTTGCAGTCTCTTCCCCAAGTAAAACAAGGTGCTGATAATTAGGAATACTGACTCAAGCCAACAATACTTTGTTTTCTAAAATGTGAAAATGCTGTTTTACACACACACATACACACACACACATACACACACACACACACACACATACACACACACACACACACACACACACACACACACACACACACACTGGTGGGGGTCTGGGCTGTGTATGTCAGAAATCAAACTATACTGCTGCATTATATCCCTGTGCCAATCCTTTAGTTGAAAACTTCAAGTCTGATTTTTATTGGAATTAGTGATCACCCTCTCTCTGTAGTGTTTTCCAGAATGGTGATCAGGTATTGTTCTAGACTTGGACGAGGTTTAATTCTGGTTTGGTAAACCTGGGACTGCTCCTGTTTGCGAAGATTGAATATATTCGATTATCTGAGATTTTCCTTGATCCTGTGATTGAAGCAGTCCCCATGAACAATTCTTAAGTTAGCCAATTTATAGTACCTTGTCTTCCAGATGCTAATTTAAGTGGGCTCTAATTTCCCCCACAGATGAACTTATTAAATAAACATAGTGACAACATAGTCTGGTGTCAGACTCGACTGTATTAAGGTCTCCGTGAGAGTCAGAGCTTAGCTGTCATCTGACCCATATTTTAAGGAAATATTGAAAGCGGTAGAGCAGTGCTAATATCAATGCTTGGTACTGGACTTTTAAAACTGTAGAAATATTCCAGTTTTCCAAAAGTAGTAAAATATTTATAGCGATTTTGACAAAAAATTGGATGCCTTTTTCATTTGCTGTGCTATAAAACGCACTCTCTTTATAAAGCCGTCAATTCCACTGCCATGACGCAGTGTCATCTGCCTCTGTCACTAGGTGTCCCGCCAGGTCCTGCCTATGGAAAGCTGAAAAATGGAATTTCTGTGGTCCTGGAAAATGGAGTTACGATTTCCCCCCAAGATGTCTTAAAGAAGCCCGTCGTAGGAAGAAAGATCTGCATTTTGGGCGACTGTTCCGGGGTTGTGGGTGATGGGGGCGCGAAGCTGTGCTTCGAAGCAGACCTGCTGATCCATGAGGCGACCCTGGATGACTCCCAGATGGACAAAGCAAAGGAGCATGGCCACAGCACCCCGCAGATGGCAGCTGCGTTTGCCAAGCTCTGCCAAGCCAAAAGGCTGGTTCTGACTCACTTCAGTCAGCGGTACAAACCCGTCGCCTTGGCCAGGGAGGGAGAAACAGATGGGACTGTAGAACTGAAAAAGCAAGCCGAATCAGTGTTGGATCTCCAGGAAGTGACTCTAGCGGAAGATTTCATGGTGATTGGCATTCCCATCAAGAAGTGAGACCCAGCTGCCACATCTGTGACTGTTTTTAAACCCACAGTTCAATGTGTTGTTGTTACTGTTGTACTTATTATTGTTTTTGGTCTAAAGTGATCTGAGTCCTCATAACCACGATGGTGCTGCAATTGTGGAACCGACACCCCAGTGCGAGGGAACAAGATTTTTCTATAATAAATTATTTAAAAAACACACACACACACAGCATGCTTCATCAAATGCAGATTTGATGAAATGCCTCGGGTGTACTTCTTGTCTTTTTAGGCCGCTGCCTCAGATTGAAGCCAGTACCTGGTGCCGTCGTGGACTTTGCTTTCACACAGCAGTATTGCTGGGCAAAGCCCACAGGGCTCAGTCCTCCCAACTGAAAAGGGTGATCTGGCGGTTTTCACTGAATCTATTCGAATTAATATAGACCAGAATAGAAAGAAACATAATGGGACATCAGGCATATAGGGTTGAAGCTGGCTCGTTAAATCTTGGATCTTTTTGCTAGAATAATGAGTACAAAGTTGTATAGGGATTTGTCTCTCAAGTGATATTTTATTGAGATTTCACATTTGCTCTGGATCTGTGATTCTTGGCTGGGATTAGCACAGCTCTCTTTAAGTAAGATTTGTAATAGTGGGGCTCTTTTCTTGTCACTACAGTGGAGGTTGGGGAGTACTACTGGTTTACTACTGAACTTTACTTATCAGGGGCCAGGGATACTACATCCTACAAAGTTTGGGTCAGCACTATGCAGTGGAGGATTGTTTCACCCCAAAATGTAAATTTCAGACCTATTAACTGTCGCTGTCATGTCCTCCCATTGTTCATCGATTTGCTCGAGCGGCCCAGTAACATCTCCATTGTGACAATTGTTACTGTGTTTGGCATATTGAATATCGAATACGTCACGGGTAGCTTGCCAGGCTTTGCCGTGCGGGCGAGATACTCTCGGTAGCTTGCCGGGCTCTCCGAGAGGGGTGGAAATTAACATAAATTAAAATGGATACTCCCAATATGAATACACTTACCAAATTAGTAACATAATGTTGAAGTTAGTGAATAGTAGTGAAGAGTCAGAATGTCATAGCAAATATTATTTGACAGAAATGAGCTGGAACTTACAAAAGTAGAAACAAATGTCAGCTAAACTGAGGTATAATGTATATGTCTCTATTAATAATTCTTTGAGAAAATTTTGATTAAGTGTTCTTCATAGAATATGTTTTCCTTCAGAATTATCTTCCACCTCCTTTCTGTCTAACATCTGACTCATTTGCCACAAAGCATTTCTCAAAATGTGTTCATGAAAAACCATCCCAAATATCAGTTCAGTCAAAAGGGTTCCCTAGCCAGGTCCATTTGGGAAGCTGTTAGTGTCGTGCCTTCTTTGGGATCATGCTTCTGACCATTATCTTACTAAAAACAGTACTAGCTGGAGTGACCATTTGGGCATCTGGGCCCTTTGTTGACCTGCCTTCAGAATCCCGTTCTCCACTGGAAGGTGGTACCTCTGTGGTCCAGAACAGTTTGCTGACTTTGAGCTTCTCCCTATTCTTCTCTAAAATGATAAGAATGGACTGGAGTGATAGCACAGCAGGTAGGATATTTACCTTGCAAGTGGCTAACCCGGGTTTGATTCCCAGCATCCCATATGATCCCCCTAGCACCACCAGGAGTAATTCCTGAGTGCAGAGCCAGGAGTAACCCCTGTGCATTGCTGGGTGTGACCCAGAAAGCAAAAATAAATAAAATTTAAAATAAAATAAGAATGGGGCTGGAGCGATAGCACAGCGGGTAGGGCGTTTGCCTTGCACGAGGCCAACCCAAGTTCAACTCCCAGCATCCCATATGGTCCCCTGAGCACCGCCATGAGTAATTCCTGAGTGCAGAGCCAGGAGTAACCCCTGTGTATTGCCAGGTGTGACCCAAAAAGGAAAAATAAAATAAAATAAGAATAATAAGATACACCTCTTAGAATCATTGTGCTAGTGAAATATGGCAGCGCACTGAAGGATATACGTTTGCTTAAAGGCCAACGTTGAGAACCAGAGAGGACTCCAGGTACAATTCCACTGAACCCCTTTCTGAGTTCTGTTTTACCATTTGGTATCTGCCAACAGCTTAAGAACCTAGAGGGCTTAAAAGGATGTGTATTTAGAAATACTGACATGAATATAGTGTTAAAGTCCTCTGGGTTCCAGGCTTATCTGCTAAAATTGTCGACTTCTGGGTGGCTCGAGAGGCTTTTGATAGCAGTAGTCACAATGGGTCTAGTTTCTCAAGATCTTTCTGAACTGAACTCGACTGTTACCTGATTTTTCTGTACTTGATGCTCTCATTGCCCGAAGGACCAAAGTTTAGCCAGATGTAAAGATGTAAATATCTTGGTTTCTGAATTTAAAGAAGAATTTATTAATCACCTACTCTGTGCCCAAACTGTACAAGAGGTAATGGTTAGTGTTTGTTCCTCTACAACGTGGCGCTCTTGAAGGTAGGAAATCCATGTTATCGCCTCTGCATTCTTAGAAATGCCTTCTCAGTAAGAGCTCAGAAATGCTAAGTGGACCAGGGATATATTTCAGCTCTCGCTCGAGCCTTGCGTGGCCTTGTGAGGTCCTGTGTTGGATCTGTAATACCTCTCACATACAAGTCTCAGAAATTCAGATGCTAAATGAAGTGAGATTTTGATGTGAGTCCAAACTCGAAGACCTAAACTTTAGGACTCATGTATAACCCAATTTATTACTATAGATGGTCGAAAAATAATAATAACTAATTATTCCTGCCCCATTCTCAAGTACCAACTGAGTGCCAGACTTAACAGTCAGAAGTGTATAAATGAATATAAGACAAAACTCCAGGCTGGGCTCATAGTTTAAGTGGCAGAGAGGGAGAAATAAAGTAAACAGTTCCTTCAAATGTTCTAATCTTGTAGCATGTGCTCAATTTCCCTATTCTGGCATATTATTTGGTAGCTCATTTGAGCTGTGTCCTTAGCATCAGACTCTATTAATATAGGTAGACTAAGCCCTCAGAGACGATGGGAATGTAGGAGTGGATTGAAAGGTTGGATCAAGTGTACTTTATCAGTCTATGGTCACATTCTTGGGCTTTCTGACCTAGATAGTGTTCTTAATTGAGCTAGAGGAAGGAAGCTTATTCTGGATTTACCAGAGCCCATAATCTGCTTTTTGGTGTGATCCCATGGGGAATTAGATATTATTGTCCCAAAAATTTATTACTGAATTCTCCTTAACCATGAAACATCTTTGGAGCACTGAGAAATACTGTTCCTGCATTCTTTTCAAAAGTATATGTGTTTTCAGTGGGGGTGGGCTTGGGCAGGAGCAAAGTAGTGCAGCAAGTAGGGTATTTGCCTTGCATGCAGCGGATCTGGATTTAGTCCCCAGCATCCCATATGGTTTCCTAAGCACCACCAGGAATAATTCCTGAGTGCAGAGCCAGGAATAATCCTTGAGCATCACTGGGTGTGGCCCCAAAACATATATATTTATAAATATGTATATTTCCACATCTGCATTTAGTATATATTGTGTTTTTCTTTGCCCTAAGCTTCCCAGTGTCAAATGTACATAGATAAAAATACCTGCTTATTTTAGATAAAAATAGCTCTTTGTAGTTCTTAAAAGGTAGATTTGCCCAAATAGACCCTAAATCAGCTGTCTTCTAATACCCATCCTAATTAATATACTTTCCATGTTTAGTCATAAAAGCAGTGCCTACTTGTAGAGTTTCTTTAAGAATCAAGAAAAGATGATTAGTCAGAATTTACTACTTAAAGACCTAATATTTCTGGTCCAGTGGTCTTCAGTCTTAGATTAAGATTCAGAATTACTCAAGGTTGCACATAATTGGATAGTTGTGCACGGGTAAAATATCCTTCCAAAAACTAATTCAGCAGGACTGGTGCAGAAGCCAATAACTTGTATCATTAATGTGTTTCCCACCCTAGGTGATTCTCAAGTATGAAGGAAGTAAACCATGATGGGGAAGAAAAACTTGATGTGCTTAAAATAATCGGGGTGTGTATAACTATTTGATATATGATTTAAACATAGAATGTTTTTGTTACTTGCATCCATATTTTTACCTGTAGTTTCTCAACTATTTTTCCTCATTTAATATTGATTATTTTTCCATGGTATTAAATATTCATTAAAAGTATGAATGTAATGCTTTTATATTGTCTCACCCTAGAAAGGTAATGCAAATTTAAATTTTTCTATTTTTGGAGGGCATTGACATTGTTTTTTGTTATTTGAAATAATACTGTTATAAATATTATTGGAAGTAAATTTTTCTCTGAGTATTTCCTTAGACTTGATTTCTATGAAGGTCCAAACCTCTGATTAAAAAAAAATAGATGTTTATTTTTTTACTCCAGTTGGGAATTTCCCACTTGTTTTCAAGGTTATGCTTTTCACTGCAGTACAGGAAAACCTGTTTTGTACTGTAACTTGCACAGATAAATGATAAATGAGTATCATCAGTGAGTGACCTCTTTAATACTTCCCTTCCAAAACATTTACATATATTTTTTGCCTCCTAGTGCAAATAATTTTTTTTTCTTTCAGTGAGCACTCATGATTCAATTCTGCTAACTTAAAAACTTGGAAACTTTTGCTTTTAAAAGGATAAAAATACCTACTGCTCAAACCTGTCCATGACAAGATGTATAATGAAGGCACTTTTGTCTTCACAAGGTATGAATTTATAGTGAAATGTGCCGGTTCTGTCCTTGTTGATTGATGGATTTTTCAGGTACTGAATGAGTCAGAGTATTTTTTTTTTTCTCAGAAAGAAAGAATAAAAACAGAAGGGCTGGGAATGCTTTTAATGTTCGCTCTTGGCAGGATAAGAATAGAGTTTAATGGGGTGGGGTAGGATGGGAGGTAAAAATCAAGAAATTATTTCCTTCCACAGTAGGAAGTAGTGTTTTAAAATGGAAAGATAAAGAGTACTTTCAGCATGTTGTGATTTAAAGGGGGTTGGGGGGCAATGGTTAGTCAATCCCAGATGGCTAGTTTGCAGTGCATGAGCAGGAAGCCAGAAACATAAAGAGGGGAGCCGGCAGGACACTATTCTTTGTACACCATTAGGACTATTTGATTATTTTTA